AACACTTGTTGCTCCCAGACGTCAACCATTGATTATTGTAGAAAAACCGTCAGCTTATGCTGAACGCTATGACTTTATTGGTGCTATTAATGGATCTCAAGCAATTGCTTGTATGATTCTAACACTAAATGATCGGAAAAGTAGAAATATTGCAGTTGCTAGAAAAGAAGTAGTGAATGAATGGATTGTCAATACACTAGAACTAGCATTTAATCGATTACGTATCAATAATGCTTACCTTATATGTGATAAAAATCGAGCTCATAACAGGAAACATATGATTGAAGCATTATAAGCTGGTAAATGCAAATCAATTGTAGATGTTTGTTACATGCCAACAGCTTCAGCAAAGTACGTATCATCATTAGATGATCCAATTTGGCATAAGTACAAGGAAGCTGTTGGAAGCCACCATCCAATCACAACAGCAAATCTTCCATCACTACTTTCACAAACTTTTTTACCACTATCAAAGCTACAAATAAAGAATGCATATCGTAAATGTGCTATTGTACGTGGAGCTAACGCTTTTTATGATCAACCATTTATGTAAATAAATATTTTCTTTTCTTAATTCAGATGAAACAATAAATTGTACACGAAAAAAAAAACAGCATCTTTTTTTGACACAATTTTTATGTGTGTGATTTCGTTTGTTATTTATTATCAATATACCATAAAATGTAGGAAGCTCTGCGCTTTCTAACGATGTGCTGATTATTGAAAAGCGGGTGAACTAAAGCAGTAAAAACTAAAAATACATAAGAGGGAAAACCAATTGAGCTTCGCTGTAATTTCGCTCTCTGGTATATAACTATCATTATCAGATCTTTAAGACTTCTACTTGAATGACATTCAAATTAAGAAATAGGAAGATTTGTATATGTTTTGAATTTATTACACTTATAAAATAAGATTTCAAAATACAGTTGCCTTTGGTGGTTAAATATACAAGAAAAATTAATCATATAGTTTTTCTTTGATCGGTTGAAACACTGAATATCGCAAATAATCGAGGAAAATTCTTTTTTTGCTGGTCTAAAAAGCTACTCCCTTCGGTACCATACGTATGAATATATTTATTTTAACAATATTCAAATTGCAATTGAAAAGCCAAGTCAATCTATTGAGTTCTTCCTCATCAGCTTCTTTACATTTTTTTTTATGGTAACGGCAGTATTGCATTATTTCTCCGCTGATTCCGCCAGAAATGAGCAATAACAAGTTGCGTAGCAGCACGTTGTCGTCTCATTACAATGGTCTTCATGCGCTGGATCAGTCGAGGTATCGATGGAAGGCAAACAGCGGGTAAGATGAGAGGAGCAATATAGTAAATAAAATAGATAATGTCAGCTTGTGCATAAAGAAATTTTGGATCGACAAAGAGTTGACCGAGTTGCAAAAGTGAAAGTGGAAACCATGCACCAATATAGATTGAAGAGATAGTGAACAGTTGAATAATCATTTTTCGTTGATGACTCCAATTAATTTGTCGCCGGTCAGCAATACTCAACTGTTGATAGATCACTCGTATGAGAAGAGTAAAATTGGAAACTGTGATAATGGCAGTGGGAAAGACGAGATTCCATAAAATATCAAGTATGTTCCACATAGTATTTTTGTAGCATGGGAGGCCACAATCGATACTGTCAAAAGACCATGTGTTGGTGCACATAGGACTGATAACAACTATGACTAGATAGAACAATGGTGCGCACAGACTACAAAATATTATTGGAGCTACATGAAGTAACCATCTCTTCCATGTACCAATGCCACGAATCAAATGTACATGAAAGATTAGGAGATGACGCTCGATCGAAATCCATGCCATAAGAAAGTTATTGACAGTGGCTATTGAAAACTCGTACCATATCCACCAGATGCAAAACGCCGGTGTTGCTGGTCGAACTATACCTCCTAAATGATAGAAATTTATCGGCATTGGTAATGCGGTAATAATTTGGATAAAGTTGATTGCGAGTAGAACGAATATGGAATGCTGATGATCTGTCGTTCGAACCGTACGACTGGAAAAAAAGTGAGCAAAGATAATGAGTGAGATGAGAATGGACGGGATTTCAAGAGACATAAGGATAGTGAATTTCATCGAATATGAAGTTGGATGAGTTTCAACGATGGTACTATTGTTTACGGCCATTGAACTTTATATTTTCTAAAAGTGAACGTTTTCAAAACTGCAATTTTAGAATTATAATGCATTAAAAGAATGCAGTCACAATATCTTTTTCTGATATATACTTCGGAAAGATAATGAATCGTGCTGTTTCGAAGGATTCTTACAGCATGATTGTATTTCTGTCGACTCCTCAAAGAATAAATTAAACAACAGATTAATATGCCCATGATATTAATATAGAATTAATTTATATAAAAATGCCCTATTTCTACTTGTATAATCGGATGTTCTTCATATCTCTGTAAGATTCATTGCTTTTTACATCTAACCCATGTTCAATCATTCTAACGGGTAGGTCATAAAAAATTACCCATTTTTGCATCTCCTTTTCTCATCAATTAATACGTTGTATTAGAGAAACAAAATACGCCAAAAGATGCAGCGTGAAAAGCTCTACAATTTACAAAGTAAAGCTTATTTTAATTGTGTACTTTTTGTTTTCAAAAAAAGTAAAATTCTATGCAATCAATTTTCGACGCTTCGAAAACAGGTCACACAGAATTTTCCCTTTTTTGAAAAGAAAAAGTACACAATTAAAATAAGCTTTACTTTGTAAATTGTAAAGCTTTTCACGCTGCATCTTTTGGCGTATTTTATTTTTCTAATACAACGTATTAATTCATGAGAAAAGGAGATGCAAAAATGGGTCATTTATTATGATCTACCCGTTAATCTTAACTACGAGACAATGATGCAAAAATATGCATCAAAAGACAGTATGATAATTATTGACATAATGAGATTTAAAAGCATGCGGATTGTTCAAGAATATATTCATAATAAGAGAAAAGCAGGGAAGCATGAATTTCATTTTTTGAAAAAATACAGTGTAATCGTTCTGTGCAAAATACAAAACATGTTATTTATCTCTTTTCTGCTGTTGACTCACCCTATTTTCATTGATTAATCATCATTCCATCTAAATTAGTTTAAATGAGATATATGAGCAATTTATCATTATATCTGGTGGTTCAGAATCAAGAAGAAAACGTGTTACTGATATATTTGACTCAGTGAAAGCGGTGTTAATTTCACATTTTGTTTCTAATCATTTAGGAATCGGACATCTTACAGTCGATGATGCCAAAAAAACCTAATACCCATGTAATCATAAAATGCATTTTTGACGCGTTTAAACACGTCTGAAATTGAAACAGCCTCCAAATGCATTGAAATGTGTTCATCATAGGGACGTTTGAACGCGTTGCAAAGTCTTGCATGCGTTCAGATGCGTTTCGTGACTAAAACGCATCACAACTGATTTACAGTAGTTTTTAAACGTGTTGCAAAGTCTTGCATGCGTTCAGATGCGTTTCGTGACTAAAATGCATCACAACTGATTTACAGTAGTTTTTAAACGCGTTTCAATGCGAATAGTATGATTTTTTGCATCGGAATGCGTTCATACCTGGAAATAATATTAACTTAGACGCGTTTGAATGCAATTGCTTTTATTTTTACATCCGAACGCGCTTTCTCTATATGCAACTAATGCTTTTGAGTTCCAATCGTGCATGTAAATGTAGTTTATTTTTCTGTTTTGCATAGACAAGATGCATCTGAACGCGTTTCTAGCTGCAAATTCACATAGTGCTATCAATAACGCAGGTTACTTCGTCACAGTACGCGTGACTAGATCTCGAACAGTAAACTGAACTACGTATTTTTTATTTAAAAAAGCATAAAAAATATATAGTTAATTATATAGATGACGTATTTAAATCTTACTGCGTTTCAAATTCTTAAAGAGGCCTCTTCTTGATAATCTGCAGTTTCAAATATCAGTGGCTAGCATTGCATGAAACAGAATATAAACACAAATAGTTGGATACGAGAAATCTCATCATATTTGTGTTCAGCATATAAAATCATGAAGACTTAGTTAATCTGTGAAATAGGAACAAATGAGTACACGTATCAAATTTTGAAATGTACAGAACATTCATTCAAAAACGGTATTACAATAATATTATTTTGCTACATGTCACTACCAGCACTTTTTTTCACGAAATGAATTTCGCTCTTGTATAACACATATCTTAAGCGTAGCAATTTAAATTTCAAAATAAATAAAATTTAAGTGTTAAGAAAAAATGTCCATTTTAACTCAAACATGAAGTTCAAAGTTAGTTTCCATGTAAACCTATTAGAGATACAAACAGATAAGAAGTAGAAGAAACGAATGAATCTGGATGTAGCTCAGACACAATGGTAGAGTCGCTTTCAAACACAACTTGAAATAGAATTGCGTCTGAATGGGGCTAAAAACAACTTAAAATAGCGTCTAAATGCAGTCAGAACACAAAATGTGCATTCAGACACTATTGCCATCGGGCGTTTAGACGCATCCATGTGCAACAAATATTTTATCTGGGTTGGTTATGAACGCATTTACAATACATTTAATATTTATGTGTTAAAGTCTAAAGTTTTTTCTGCTTCTTCATATACGAATTCTTACACTAAAGAGTCTTATGTGACAGAAGAAACAAAATGCATATAATTCGTCTACAAAATACACAATTCTTTAAATTTACTTACTTCAATTTCCACTATTTTTTTTTTGAAAAGCAAATTCTATAAAATTTATCTTCACCTCGCTATGATTAAAGATTTCGTTCAAAGTAAAAAAGAAAAAGAAAAAATAATTACTTAATTTGAATTTAAAATTTAAATTAACTTTTTTTTACTTTGAAAAGACAAAAAAGTTAAGATGCTGCATCCATTGAGCATTTTTTGAATAAGCAATTAATTATCGAAAAAAACGATTTTCTCGTATTCTGTGATCCAAAAACTATAATTATTGTTTTTATAAAGTTAATCATATGCAACCGATGTCATGTATGCAATTTAAAATGACACTGATAAATTAAAAAAACGAAAATATTTCAAAGTTTATATCATTTAATGAACCAATCGCTATATTGTTTTGCCATACCTAAAAACTGAACAGATATGGATAAAGGGGAAGAGAGAGTCAAACACTTACTATAGATATTTACTTTTTTTT